TGTATAGCCGATAGACAGGTGAAAAAATATTCCACAAGGTCCTAGATTAGGCACTCTGACGACCACTACAAGGTTCATCTGGTGCTATTGAGCATCAGTCATTGATGTGCAAGAGCTTAATTCAGATTATGTGAAAAATTCTATCCTACTCGTGGAGATGTGACATATGGGGGAAAACTGATCGTAAAGCCTGCGAGTGGTCTATGTTCTGACGTCCAAGCTCCGCCCCCGCATCCGACGGAAGATGAAAGTTACTACGGAAATTATGAAACCGCTTTGCAGTGTTTGTTTACAATTGTTTAATGGTCAACAAACGTCCAAAAGTTTTGGGATGACGTGTGAGGATATTCGGTTTTCAAAACTCTGTGCAAATGAGATACTTACTCTCGTGCTCGATGGCTTATAACTACTTAGTTCGTATTCGCTGATAACTTCGCACCTAATGGCAATTTCATGGGTACCTTGTTTGTATTGCATGGGTGTCGGTCTGTTCGTCGAGCCTGCCCATTGCTGTTCAATCACCCGCCCAAGAACAAACGGAATCTCACCATCACAGTGCATCAAACGCGCGCTTCACTTCACATCCATAAAGACTTTTGGGATCCCTTCAAGGAGAGAAGTGCTTCATCAGGGTGTTACCAAGCAAATCACTTGTGTTCTAGTTGATGTCTTGCGTAACATGAAAGCGAAAGTGCAGGAAGTTAGTAAAATATCTTCACATGAAATAGGAGTCCTGTTTTTCTGTTTTGAAATATCCATTTTCCAATACCGGTACTTTCCGATATAAACGGTGGGTAATCAGCTCGTTGAAAGGACAGCAGGGAAGGCACACGAAAACAGTCGTTTCGCAGAGAACGAAAGTCCTCAGCATTTTCCACTAGAAAGACGCCGAATAGGACGAGGGCAGGCTTTCTGAAAGCAGGTACAAATTTATTCACAATGATAGAGCATAACGTTATATCATTTTGGTGAATGCCCAGATATTAGCTCGAGATCTAGCAACATAAGGTTCAGCATTCATTAAAGCACACTACTTGGCAATAGAGCAGTTATTAAACAAGAACCAGATGACTGCGAGACCTCTACGCTCACAACCCGGCGGGAAACCACATAACAAAGCAGTGACAGAAGATAAGGAAGGAACAATAGTTTAGACTGATTACTGGCTCTAGATTTGACGACCTTGAACAACAATGGAAAACGCAGGAGTGGTTTTGACGGTAAAAGAACTGTTTGAACCGACTAGTCACAGTATAAGTATCAGATACCTTTTGCACAAACTCAGGTACCGGAAAAAAGGCATCACAACTGTTTCACCTCGATCAGTGCGTAAACATTTACAATTCAATTGTTAAACTCAGTGGTCGAATAAACAACCCGAGAGCTGATAATGTCAACGTAAAAAAGCAAAGCTCATTGCATACGGGCTTGAAAGCCAATAGGGTTTTGAAAAAAACATTTCACTCTAAGAAGGCTGTCAGATAACTAATGAAATTTCGCTGAGCCAGAATCAGTATGTAATGTCCTCATGATACTGGTAAAAAAACGATCATTATGGGCTAAAATAGCTGTTGCATTTGTGTATGATTTTAGGCCTACACAATACGGTTACCAGTACGCATTCCATTTGCATGTTTAAATTTTTCACTTCACCGGGATCATAGGATAGAATTTGCGTCAGAGATTCTATAGAAATTAACTCGTCCAAATCGGGGGAACCTTACAGGTCCTTGGGATTGCCATTCAAAGTACGGCTTTGTGTACAATTAGTTTGTCAACCTTATGGGATCAACTTCCATTGTCTTTCATTAGCCTTTATTTCATTGACAAATCAGATAGCTTATTGTTTAACGCCATCTGTATTTGGCTTCTATAACTGGTGTGAACCATCGGTTTCGATGTAGGTCCAAAGATGTTTAGCTCCATCGGGCCGGTTATACTCGGCAGGTTCGAGTGGTGACAAGTGCACACTTGGGACTGAGATTAATTCTTCTGGGGCTGGCAAACTAAATTCGCACTTTCGACTAAATCTGTCGTTACTAGAATGCCCTAGTTGAATTTTAAGTGACAGACTCCCCATGTTTTTCGAATTAAAATACCGGTCTTTCAAAACAACCTGGCTGTCCGTCTGTAGACTCTGTTGACTTCCCGAGATCTCTTGAGATAATTATTTGGAGCACAACATATATCTCAAAACTGTACAAAAATATAAACTTCGGGAGCAGGATCCTTCAGACAGAGCGAAATATTCTCCTGGTACAGAACAGAAGGATGTCAAACCAGACTGATACAAACTACTAGCCCGGTGGTCGTGGGTCGGAACTCTGTGGAGCTTCGTGAGCCGCGCACTGTTGATCATCCCCAATAAGGATGGAACATCTATACAGGGCTTCTCGGCTTCTCAGCATAGACTAGATTCAGCCGTGGGACAAAATCTCAGTTGAAAATGACCAGATCTTCTACACAGCCATCGGTCAGTCAGATGTGTTTGAAGTGATGCCAAGCCAGGAAGCAGTCCCAGGGTGGTAGACCTGTATCCGTTTTTTTCCATGCCACTTATTTGGTTGTTACCAGCTTAGTTTCGAATATTCTATCAACTCGCCAGTCCCGTCTAGTCGTTCAGCTGGACGCGTTGAGGCTCATGGGACAGTTAGTTTAGCCTTTTCGTACCCACGCTGTTCTCATGGCATGAGGACTTATGAGGTAGACAGTGCTATCAATTTTCTCAGTTTTACTCACTATACCAGGCCATGTCCCATTTAAGCGCGCATGATACCTAATAGCCCCATATGCTCCTAATCTAATCAGTCAGAGGTGTTGAGCTGAAGGTAATGATATCTTTAGATTAAGAAATTAATCTATTCTTCCGTCAGTCCAGTCGCGATAAGTCAACTTGAAACTTCCATCCACCAACTACATAAGTGTCGATGTCCTTCAGACAAACAATAGCCACAAAAAACAGTCAAATCTGGTAACAAAGTGAACGTCACATGAAGAGTTCAATATATTCACCGAACATACAAGTTTCGTTGCATATTTTTAATCAGCCTGGCGGATGGACTATGTGGACCGTTCCCAAGTGCCGATGAATCCTTTTTTTTCGAATAAATCGAATGGCTGATGTGGGGAAGGTGTGAGCAGTCTATCAATACATATGTAGTGCATTACTTTATGAATACCACGAGTAATATCGTCAGGCTCAGAGAAGATTGTCATCGCTTTTCGTCACGCTGTGATACAAGCCGGACAGGACAGTTTATATATATATATATATATATATATATATATATATATATATATATATATATATATATATATATATATATATATATATATATATATATATATATATATATATATATATATATATATATATATATATATATATATATATATATATATATATATATATATATATATATATATATATATATATATATATATATATATATATATATATATATATATATATATATATATATATATATATATATATATATATATATATATATATATATATATATATATAAGAAAATGTTGGTAGCTCAGGTAGCGTAGATGATGGTCGTTGGCTTCTTCGCTGAGCTGGGCAATTTGATTGCAAACGTTTCATCACCAATCGAGGTGACATCATCAGTGCGTTATTGTGGAGCGTAGGAGTACGTAGCGGTGGGTTGGTGGTTGTACACAATTAAGTGTACAGTTAAGTTTAGAGATATCCAAGACTGCATTTAATTCATAAACGCACCTAGGTACCCAGTTTCACGTTCCATTTACTCATAATGAATATACCATTAGAACATTTAGACACATAATATAGTGGCTAAAACTTGGATTGATCACGAATAACCTCTGAACACTGCATTTTGAACAAATACCCAGGATCATCTTTAGGTAAGCAATTAATAGCACATTAAGTAAGTGATGCCAAGTAACCCAACTGGATCCTTTCCATACTAAGGGAGTGTTCCATACAAAGATCATCAACCCCTTAGTAGGAGTGATTCCCAAGTTTCCAGCTACTTGTAGCTGGATAGCTAGGGATCATTGTTTCCTGACAAGCGTGGCTGCTGCATACTTGGTTGCTGTTGCGAATCCAAATCATAACGGGTAGGATCACGGAGCAAAGGCAGTGAATCACAACTTCAGCAGATCCTGAGTTCGTTCATGGAACATCAAAATTGCTAAATTAGTGGATTCGCATTTAGCTGATACGATTTGCATGAATTCAGCAGTTTTTTAGAAAAAGGCTGTTCCGACCTTTCACTGTTGAGACAGGATGAATCAAGTATCGTAGAGAGAGATTTTAGCCCACATGCACATAGAACAAATCCCAAGGGTGGGCACCAACCGCTCAGCGTGTTATCTGCTAGTAACTAATCAGATCCTTCGGGTATTGTTCATTGGTCTTCACAATGTATTTGATTCCTAAAACCTCGTGAATTTGGAATCTATGGGGCTCCAATAACAACCGCTAATACGATTCTGAACTCCAGCCTGGAAAGAATGAACTGCCTTGTGGGTCTAAGGTTCCTGATAGTCAAATCTTTCTTAATTACCATCGCGTTATGCTGCAGGACCACACATTATCACACATTAAATGAGGATTTGTGAGCGCTAAAGATGAGCAAACCAACCATTTCCAGGTGGTAAACTTGGCTTACCAAATCAACCAATAGGTGCAGGTCTCAGCCCACAAACCAAATTTACCCGTGGGATTCTGATGGTCAGAGTTCTCGTGTATAGTAAGTAGACGAAGAATTACGCGACAATTCACCGATTTTCACATGATGCCTTTCGATAAATGACAAGGGCATCCTGAGATGAGGCTATTGGGTAGCCTACATCTCCTACCTAAACAGACCGTTTTTACCTAAAATCACGAACCTGGTTAGGATTGAAAATGCTCCAATGTATCTTACTACTGCATGTCTAGTTCAGCTGCACATACTATTGGATATTTGAGTAAAATGAGTTGTTTTTCGTCGTCTCCTAATAGGGAACTCCACGTTCTTTTGGAATCGAAGTCATCTGAGAGTCCCAGTTTGGAATTATCCTACTCTGTGGAGCGTGCCACCTGGAATCCATGCTACGACATTCGTCTGTCAAGCTCATCTGCAACGCTACAGGTAAGATCCATTTTCTGTGCGAAGCTTGTCAAACGCAGTGATAGCGGTCTGTTTCCCCCGAACAAATCTCCACAAAAACTGGAGCGTAACAACATAGCGGTTTACTTCCGACGACTCCTTTAGTTAACGCAAACAAACGGTACCATTTTCTGCACGCTGAGAGTTTAATCGACACGCACTGTTGCCTAGATTATAAAAAGGACTTTGACTGTGGAGAGGATTTTTTGTCTAAGAAGAACGATTCTTCAACACCTATGGCATCAGCGAAAAAGTAGTCAGTCATTTTAGGAATTACAGTATGAGATCATCTGCCGGTTGTTGTAATCCCTTGTGTGGACTGAGGATCATTTCTTTACTCTGATTTTCATCTTGGCCCCAATGTCTGGCTGTGTCTCCTCTGTTGTCCCATTTTCCGGTGACCGGAACTTTGCCAGCTGGAACCAACTTACACTTTACACACGTTTATAGCTCATAAACTGACTGGCTGATTTGCATGTGGGGTGGGTCCTCACTGAAAATCGAGGAATCATGACACAACTGTCTCATTCCTTTTTGGGAGTCCTTAATGGCGAGAATTTTACAGATCCCTTATCTCTCTGGTCTAACAAAGTACTAGGCGCTCATGAGAAATCATCCAGAAGTTCGGTTCATACTTAGGCACAGTGTTGCACCAAATTTCTTCCACGTATGATCAGGTGTTATCAATCTTCTATCCCAGAAACCTTACCTCGAGAAGCCAGGACCCTTGGGCCACGTGACCCGAACTGAATCATTAAACAACTGCAAGATAATGTTTCCATCTATTTTCGACTTGATCACACTGCTAATCAACTACTCATGGACGAACGACATAGTGTTAAACTACCAGCCTGAAGACTTTGGTTAGTCTCCCAAGATGTAATTGGAATGCGCGCCGCTGGTAATTCTCAACAAAGGTGGAACAGCTGTTCAGCGCTCCCGGATTTTTAAAACGAGGTGACCACTGGTAAAGAGGAAACTCGACCTGAAGCACCACCATCTATTTTACCTATAAAAGCACTAGTGGGTTCATTCACTCTAGTCTAACCGCTAGGTGTTTGTCTTCTCGAATATGTGAGCATGAAAGACACGCGGTTTAGGTTGTTGGTCTGTTCGCCGAGCTTGGCAGTTCGATTGCAAACCAAGCAGTGCACCCGAGCTACCTACATTCCACAACATTGCCAACACGGAGTTTAGTTTTTATACTTCCATCCAAAAATGATTAGTTGTGAGGAGTACTTGCCTTGTCGTTTCCTGTGGTACACAGCTACCTACACAACATTGCCAACACGGAGTTTAGTTTTTATACTTCCATCCAAAAATGATTAGTTGTGAGGAGTACTTGCCTTGTCGTTTCCTGTGGTACACTATCAAAAAGACGTAGTGTATGATTTCTGAATCAATATCTAAAGCTATCTGATTCACTCTCAAAACACTCTGTTCCCCTCGAAGGAACCTAATTCAAGTGATTTCACATCAGTATCGACCACGAAAAATTGTTTTCTCCGTGGCCAAAGAGAAGCACACCTACTCGTTAGGACTACAACTCGTTAAGGCGACAACGTATATAAACACCGAAAACGAGTGAATGAGTTGGCTGATTTAAACGAACCTTCGGTTTTTTGTCAGTAAGATGACGCTCAATTGTTGAGGGAATTGTCACTTCACTTAACTGAGTTACGTTCGCTCGAGCGACAGAATTCCACCTCAAGGGAAAATGGGCAAGCGCTTTCAGTTAGCAAGTTTAATGAACTCAGTTTTTGTCTGAAATGCTTGACCAGTGTGGCTGCAACTGTCTCTCCTTTGTCGATTCCCTGGGGACGAAGCTTAATGTCTTATTGACTGAAAATAGGTACTCGGAGGTTTCGGTAGGATTCGACCTAGTCTAAGCAATTGTGAACAGAATGAGTAATCTTAGATTTTTCGATAAGAACAGATTTTATTTTTCAAGAAGGACAAGGGTTTTAGAAGACAGCCTTCTATTGATTTTCTGAGTAAGGCAACTCACTTGGCTAGATTTTCACATCAGACTGGATACTCCAGATTTCGCATCTATGTAAAAAACTTCCCCAAGAGAAAATTCCAAACTAATAGATAGAAAGGCAGAAACTTTTTTGAGCCGTATTGGTACTTTTCTACCTTCTCACACAAAAGGAAGGTGAAAACCACAGCAAAATTAGGCGTATTTTCTATCAAGTAACGTTAGGTAGCCGATGGATTTAGCGCACTCAGTCACTGGCATATGGGGACCCACGGGGGGAAACGGAGGAAGTCAAAGACAAAGCGACTTTCCTCCCAGTATTCAAAGGTTGATACGTGCCCTAAAATGGTTTCCACATGTTCAGCTTGTTCGTTGCTTTGAAGTCAGAATGCATGTCTGACTATGAGCGCTTGCGCTACAGTTACAGGGACATAGCAGAGTCAAATGCCATCGGTCGGCCATCTAATAAAGTGTTTTTCTACCATTTATCCGCTTTTTCGGAGTAAGGCTCGCCACACCCAAGATGACCAGAATTTCAACACATTCAATATGTAAATTAGAGCAGCCCAGAGACTTTCATAAGAGCTTCCCAAAAGTCGAAGTTGTTTACTCTTTATTGACCGTGGTTCGATTTTCGGCCCTTGTGAATTAGCTCCTTTAATAACCCACAATTTTAGTATTAGCGCTCCTTTTTGAGGAAAACCAACTTTTGAACATATATTCAGTATGAATAACCTTTTACCGTTCTAGAAAATGAATGAAGACATCCGACATTCTCTCTGTCATTTGGACCGGTCCGTTTTTTATCCAAACGGGGCAGTTGTTCTCGTTTTCAGTTGTTGTGAAAAAGGCCGGTTAATGGTACAACACATGAAGATATTAGGAGGCGGCTAGCCTGAGTTAATCACTGATCGTAACATAGCATAAACGAGCGATTCAGTCGGGTCCCTCTTGAACTTCATTATAATTGAAAAATGAATGCAAAATTCTTACAGTTTAGTGTTAAAGTAGAACACTATTTTGGTGCGAACCAATGGACCAAAACATTCTGACGACCCCTAAGAAATGTGAAACGGGATGTGTACTGCCGAAGTTCTTTCAGCAACCCTATGAATGATGTGTTTTGCCAGGAAGATATTCATGTCCAGTTCAGCGATTTCTCAACGCAGCCACTCTTACTCTTACATCAGCCGTCTAATCTGTAGACACCTTGTTTACTAGATGTTTATTCCCTTTGCTAATACTGACTTCGTTTGTACAGTGGGGCATTCACAGATATTTTAATCCTTTTGGTAGGTTCGGTAGTGCATGCCTTCTCACTGAAAGATATCGCCGAATATCTGAAGAAGTTTTATGCAGAGCTTATTCCAGCTTCAAAGCTCCTTATACTGCGATCAGTCCATGAGTGATTCAGTAAAAGAACCTCACCAAATGAGTGAAATTTCTTTATGAAAAGTCATCACTCAAAAAGCCAGTCAACAATTGACCACGTGATACGGTTTTAACGATTGGAAAATGTGTGGAACCAGATCCTAAGAATTAACCACTGCTGTTCAGCCGCTCGCAGCCAAAGATTTGTGTTCAGCCTCTGTCGCGAGTTCGAGACTACCTGTAGTTCCGTGAGCTGCGTACTGTTGGTGATTCCCAATGGGGTTTTTCAGCATACGTTGGCTTCCCTTACATTACGGAATTTCTGTTGACAATCTCTCATGTAGATAAAGGCCCAGAATTGAGAAATTTAGAAACCCTTCTCTCGACGAAGTCACAAAGAAGGAGACTGCTTCACTCCACTGTAATTCCTTGACGTTCAGGTTGAGTGACCGTCTACTGCTAACCTCTGCAGTTGCATCAGTAACTTCATAGGCACTGCTATGCTGAATAAACCAGCTAATTCGTGTGCTCAATGTAATCTTCCTTTGTCTTTTTAAAAGCGAGTTGTTGATATAAATTTTCACATTTTACTTAATATATATTCTGGTTCACTACTTCATTTGTAGGCTTCAAGAGTAATTAAACCAACTACGACAAATTCAAGGCTTTTCAGTTAGACTAAGCTGTAGTCACCTTGCAGTGAGCAGCTCGTTTCGGTAGACATATAGCCCTCTTTGGTCACAAAATTTTCCACAATAACGTGACTAATTATCTTTCAATCTAAACAGCCCATTGAAATTGTTTTTCTTTATGTTGTTAGTGAGACAAGAACTACGCAGTGTGACTTGTACTTGAAATTAGGTTCAGTAGAAATAACCTTGTATCTAACCCACTGTCAGCCGCTGCCAATTCGGTCAGTTGATTGTTCCAGTTTGCCTCTTCGACGGAAGATCAATAGTGTATCTCAACATGATCGTTGCAAGTCATTCACAAAACGTCATTTCCATCTAAAATCACTGTAGTCGGATTCTTTGCAGGAACTCCTAAGAACCTTAGAAAACAGTCATCACTGAAGTTATGTTGTGATGAGGAACCCCCTGATGTATAGCCTACTTACAAAAACTAGGAGGAATGAATGTAGGGAAGAGTACTTAAAAATTATGGGAAAAGCATACGCCGGCATAATCTGAGTGTTGTATTACTTCCTTTTCGTCTGCATTTCCTTGAGCTACGGCAAGGATTTTGTCTAGGGAAGTAAACGGACGCCAAATTTCGTAAACAAGATCGTCCAAAACCATTGTTTCCGAATTCAAGTGGAATAAATTGTCGTCCCTCAGCAGTTGAATGTGTCCTCCTCATTTTTCTTCCAATTGGCATTGGCGGTATAATGGATGGCATTTTGTGCCCTAACATATAGGGTAGTGTACCCTTCGACTACGGATTCTAAAGTCCCTCCGAACACCATTTATTGGCGAGTCCATTTGGGTTTCTATGAAACCATACATAACAACTGTAAATCAAGGAATGACTGTACAGGTTCATTTCCGTTACTACTGTACCACCAAATGGTTTCCTTAGGTTTATTATTCACACGCTATGTCACAGAATCTCACGTAATTCCTGAGAAGAAAATATGATTGACAATCTTTGCACTATTTTAGAATTCGATGAACTCGATCGACTCGTTCCATCCAGGTCGATTTAGTCAGCAAAGTTGTTCACAGGCGCGTCCAAAAGATAATCTATTTTCAGGACCTAAATATGCGTTCGCTGTCGGGGACAGTTGTTTTTCAGCGTTTGCTTTAAACGTGATCCACTTTACTCTCAGATCAGGATTCCGAAGCTGTTAAATGATCCTCCAAATACACAGAAAGGCTTTGAATCCGCTTCAAAAAGCCCTCCAAAGTATTTGGTGTTGACCGACGAAGCGTCCAAGAATTACAGCATTTGGCTTTCTCTGATGATTTCTTGAGAAAAGAGCATAATCTAGTTGACTGAAAGTCTTGAACAATAATACTTTTAGTGAATTGAGATGGAGTCGAAATGGCTGTATTGTCTTTGTCTATCACTGGCAAGTTTTGGACACAGCTTCACTTTGTCCTACTCACACTTTCAAACAGATAACTTACTACGGTTTGGTATCACAAACAACGGGGGAAGATTGGGAGCCAGACAAGCTGACACTTTCAACTGTGCACCCGTCTCGCACAGCCCGGTGGCGCATTCCAGAACTAAAGGAGGAGCGGCTCACATTCAAAGACGAAGACAGGTTAGTTTGTGTCTCCAGTTGGCTGTCACTTTCCTCCGAGCGGCAGAAAATATTCCGTAATCCTTTACTGAAAGAGTGGTAGATTGGTAATGGTAGCTCCGCTCACACATAAGACTTTTCTGGAGATAAATTCTGATATGACAGAACAGTACCATTCAGTCCTATTTTTTAACAGGTAATCACTATGCAAAATAAAAGCCGTGTAAGTGAAAGCTCGACAAAGCATAAAACAACTTAAATGCACTAATCCTCCCGAGTAATAGCCTCCTGTGGAACTTGGTAAGGCTGGTATTTCCTGGCACTGGAGAAGTCAGTCCTGGTTTCACGTGACAAATACTTGCCTCACAAAGAATATATCGTCCTCTTGGGTTTCAAATGATTCTTTCAATAAAAATTGTTAAAATAGATGGTGCCTTGCCCAACAATCCAGTGGTGAAATTCAGATGATCACATTGGGGGAAAGGTCTCTAATAGAATGAACGAATCGGAGAGACCAGTGCAGTGCATGCTGTGTGTTTCGTCTGCAAATGAAAGCCTTCAAATACAGTCGGTTCGGTCACAACGGGCTTTTGTTCGACTGGTTAGGGGGGGGGGGGGTTAGACAATCCACTTAGGGTCTGAGGTGTGTTTCTCTTGGTCACAACCACAAAATGAAGGGACCACAACAATCTTATCGATCCGCATGAAACAGGTCCACTTCCTTCAAATTCCTCTAATGAACCAGTGGTTTTGATCCGAATAAGCTGGACTGATTCTGTGATACACTGTACCATTCCTGCTGGCTCACATTTTCATCGGCAGATGAAATCTCATCGAAAATCCCAAAATAGAATAACGTTTATATACTTAGCTCATCAGATTTGCAGAAATATATAACAAATAATGCAAATAAGGTTCACAGAAATCGTGGTAAAACCAGGGGAGCATTTCCTTGCACTCCAACCAACAAATACTGGATTCAGTTGGCTGTTGCTGCCAAAGCATGCTTTATCCGTACGGTCGTAACACACGAAGTAACTTTCATCGCATCGTTCAGCTGTAGCACCCTTTCGGTGCTCAACCGCCATGTCACCAGAAGGAAGCACGAGGGCTGGGATAATGCCAGGTTACCCAAGCATAGACAGGGGAAGTCGCGAAGCGGAGGTCGGATTCGAACCATGAACTTTCCGGTCAGTAAATTCGCGCTATAACCACTGAGCCATCTCGCTTCGCTTTCAACGCACAATGTAAGTAGATATTGAACCTGGAGTGCTCTCTTTGCTCCGCAGCTTTATTGTAGCCTGTTACAAGCCATTCGAACAATCCAAGGAGACTGAAAAGCTTAAAATCATACACAGAGCGTGTTAGGCAATGCGTTTCTTTGGTTTTCTAGGTCATTATTGTAACCCTTTGCTTGGGTTTCGTAATATAGAATGGTGGGGAATAAGATTTGTAGGCAGCCAAAAATGTTCATCAGATTCACCAGAAGTATTTTGTTACAGCTATTTTTCATCATATTCCCATCTTTGTCTACACGCAACGTGCGAAGGGGTCGATTTCAGTTGCCAGTTTATTGTTTGGTTGATAGCTACCAAATGGGGGGGGACATGGTGATATCGGCATCAATGGATGGGTGTCTCGCACTGAGTTATTGCGACCGGACCGGGTAGGGCGGTGGGTGAACAGTTTATCATGTCCATATAACACAGTGCACCAATGCGGTTCACCGTTTCTAGAACAAAAGTTTGTGATGCGTTTGTTACGTTTCTCAGCTGGATGTCATTTGCTCAATCAACTGGTGTTCCACTTATCACCAATCGGACCATGGCTAAGTGTAGCCTACAACGGTGGGAATATCCAGAGATGGGACAGCAGTATGGGCTGCAGTGTTGATTGGGGCTTCGAAACCAAGACAATGCCAACTGCCTAGTTCTTGTCATTTGCGCAGACGAATGCTGGGCTCACTTTAATTCCTTGCCTATGGAAGTCCAATTTGCAGTCCGAGAAGTCATTCCGATGTGCGTGTCTGAAAAAAAGGCTCGAACTAAATGATTTTTGTCACCCGGTTTTTCAGTGAGGCCTCGCAGTATCGAAGTGCACGTAAACTGATCAAAGGTTTTTTTTTAGGAAATTCAAGAAAGTCGGCTGGTCAATAATGAGGTGATAGGGTTTCAAAATACGTCAGAAGAATGATTTCGGCACCCTGGCCCTACCGCCGTAAATAGCGGGGACAACATTCAACATTCTGGAAATCCAATAGAAAATTGATGTGGTGGTAAAGTTTCGTTTGCTTACCTGGTGTAAGGCACTTCATACAAACTTAACTACGAGAAAATGAATACAAAGATAGATATTCTGGCTCATGGCAAAACCTTGAACTACTACGGAATTGGCCGCGAACTTTCAAAATACCCTAGATTGCGCCGGGTTTATCTCTCCTTCGATTGAAGGCCTCTTAAAGTTAAATTAATCCATCCAAGGATTACTCTCGGAATGCCTTGAGAAACCCAGGCCAGCTTAACTTGCTTTCGGTAGATCTTAAAATGGAAAAGTAATAGCTTGAGCACTTTCTATTTAACTGTGAAGCTAGCAAGTATATCGCCAGAAAACAGAAGTTACCTGCAGTCAGGAGTTAGACACGGAAAACTGCAAAATAAGTGCCAGAAATATTCTATAAGGAAACAATGCTATGGATTTCAAGGTAACAGCAAGTACGCGATGCATTTTCACAAGTGTTGGTCAGTGACTGTGCGATATAATTTGGGCATCCGGAATTTATTATGAAGGAATACCACTGACTTCGCATTTTTGTTCTTTGTTTTTTTTGTGTCAGCCATAGTAGACGGGCGGGTGTCATGCGTCGAGTCGGTATTGATAAAGCATGCCGAAAGCTCAAGTCGCGTTCGCTAAATTGCGAAACTTATGAAGAATCACAGGTCCAGCCGATCGACGAGGCAGCCGTGTACTTGACAGAAAGTGCTTGTTGCAGTACCGGCATAAGACCAGTGTGCTTAATCCCAAGCCAAGGGCAATCGGACCCGGTTGCAACTCGCAAGGATCAATTTAAACCTACAATACCGGTGAGCTGACTCAATAGTCAACATAAATTGTACTTCACTTACCTCATGCTTAGAAATGCAACAGATGTCATATTTTGTGGAACCAACAACATGTCATAGCTTAAATTTCTGCAGGTAAATAGGCAGAAAATAAGATATTGTTGTCATCTTATCAGGGGAGATTCCGCTTGACTATCCGCTGTCCCTAATCAGCAAGCGCGAGTCCACTTCTAAGGACCTAGTGAATGCTTCTGGTGATCTGGCACTACATTCAAGCTAACATTGAGTGGTTGTCCACAAAAGCAAATCCGACATAGATGATCATCGTCGAAGTAAGCAGAATTTCGTGCAGCAATAACCCCAGTTTTGCATTCCTCTCCTTGTTTAACTCCAACCTACCGATTATTCTCTGGCTTGGTTCACACTCCGATTCACTAACGGATTTCAAACATAAGTACCACAAATAAAATTCTCGGTTCGCGCATCGATTGCTCACCAAACATGTCCAGAATGGTAATTCATGCAAACCGTATATTCCTAGTGCAGTTCTAAAGTAAAATGATTATGGGATTAGTAGTCCGTCCTTGAACTTGACTATAAAACTGGACTATACCAGTCGACCCGGTGCAGTTTGGTTATTACCACACATACTTCATGGTGCTGCTTGTGGAGCACTCTGACAGGGTTATTACCATACTTCATGGTGCTGCTTGTGGAGCACTCTGACAGTTCTGTGGTCCGGAAAACAGGTCGAGGAAGAACCAAGAGGAAACAAACAGACAAAACAGTCCAACAAACGTGCCCATCACAACATGAAGCCCCAAATCAGAGGCAACATATGAACTTGTAGAAATAGGGATGTCAGTGGGACACGAGTCTGGACAGTAGTCAAGACAGACTGTCCCAATCATGTTTTGCAGAGAGCCTTTGGAAATGGACCAGAGGAGAATGGTGAGCGACGGATGCCATGTTGGTCTGTTGACCTAAATGCACATATACTGCGTTATTATTGAGCTCGATAATAACACATTCTTCTACAGAGTATCGGTCATGGCTCAATGAAACAGAGACGCCACACCAGATTGGTTCATGCCCAGCAGAAGTCCAGCAAATCAGTTTCGAACTACGTATCAATATCCTCCTCTGACCATAAAACGACACAGGTTACTCCTTGTAAACGGTGGGTTCCTGAGAATGTCACAATTTTTTTGCTCTTAGGTGGTGGAATATTTGTTCGATCTCGTCCACCTCAAAATCATCAGTTTGAATAAGACACCGGACTCTTCTGAGGTGGATTATATGCCTTTCCAACTGTGATTTCATTATCATCACTAGGATGATATCAGTGTTCAAACACTATTGTTAGGAAAGGAGGAACAGTGAACGGGGAGGGGACTTGGTGCTAGCCCTTCACAACCGTTCCAAGGTGTATAAACCTCCGGACACCCATTCAGGCAATCTGGATAAGAACTGATAACAACGGAGCCCTTGACATAAATATGCAGCCATATCCTGTAGCTTTTTAACCAGGTACGGTGAGGATCAGTGGACTTTGACAGCACCCAGACTTTTCCCACTCTCTTCAATATCCCACTTCCAGTTCAAAGGATCTTTTAAAAACGTACGCTGGTCTTTGTGCTCAAGAATGATAGCTGATAGACTAAAGTTTGTCATACATTGAGTTCAACAGGCCCGGTTCATTAACGTGCTGAATTTTGTTCTGGTTTATCTAACACAGAGAAAGTGGCTGGGCACCAGTGCTGAGACGGATATTATATACGAACTTGAAAAAAGCCGCAATCAAACGCTAATGGACCTTCACCGTTCTGATCCACGCTGTACTACGACAGCGAAGGAGGAGCACCAAACCGCCGATTCCACCCAGACTCCCGAAAATCTCACTTTGTCTCGGTATAACTTTATGATGGGCTACGAGAACGACTGCGTTCCGAATGCAATGACGTGCTCCAGCCTCCCTCCAGGGATTCATTTTCCCTCACTCACTTACGAAGTAAACAACAAACCGCTGTCCATCAGAGGAAACGGAGAGCCACAACGAGTCACTCTGGGCACTCTGGAGTTTCGCCCCTCGCTGGAATATGTCACTATACCAAAGCTGCTTCCAAAAGCGTTTTTAAGAGTTCGTATGCATAATACATCGGAATTCGCGTTACTTGAAGGTCCAGCCAGTGTTTACCTCGACAACAGTTTCAACGGAAAAGTGAGTATTGATCAATGATGCGGTCCTCCTGATGCGAAACGGCTGGTAGTGACCACGTTTGTTTTTCATAACTCTGATACACAAAAATATTGACAGAGCAATATTTGTGGATGCAGTGTAGTAAGTGTCACGTTATGAAGTTCTTAGTTGCCTGTGAATAACCATATTAGCCGTAGAAGTTATTTTTTCTGTATCGGTACTCAGAATAGACTATAGACTGTGCACATCTAGTAAGGAGCGTGGTGAATCTGTGAACTATGTTGTATGTTGATAGCATTTAGTCACACACCTCTCTGGGCATAGTCATACTCAGGTAAGTTACCGTGGAGCATCTACTGTGATCCTACTCACCAACTCGTTCTCCATCTTGCTGGTGCTTGTTAATGATCAGTGCTTACTAGAAACAGCACAAGGTTAATGACAATTTGCATTGAATCAACTTTTGGGGACAGTATCTTCGAAGAAACACTTTAGCGGATACCAAAATTGGCTGCTCAACTGGATTTTTCCCCTGGTTTTGCTACAAACCATCATTCTATCCCACACAGTCTGCCCCTTGCTAACGAAAATTCAGGTTTTTGCAGGCGCCTTCGCCGTATGCTGAGCCGGAAAGTGCTGCATATTTCAGTCACCTTGCGAATTAGCAACTAAAAAATCGGGACAATGGATCCATTATGCGGGGTCACTGTGAGATTAGAAGAAAGCCGATCGCAACATGATACGGTCGTAACGGTCGGAATAACTATGAATACTGATTTGTCACTGCATTGCTTCTCACTGTCTTCTAGTCCCAAGATATCCACCTCGAGATGTGGTTGTTTTCAAGAAACATAGGTTATACCCAGCCAATCCAGGTCAGGAAGAACCAGCTGGTGCTATGTACCAATGTCACAGCAGGCTAAAGATTAATATTGAAAAACCACTATCAATGGTAAATATGATTTCCAGGCTTGGTGGTGACATTGCGGATCCAAGGATTAGAAAATATTCCGCCCAGAAGAAGCCATTTACCATCTGACATTTCTTTCGAGGATAGGAATGCGCTCCTCACTTGGCTGTCCATAGTTTCAATCATGACAGAGATGTCAGTTCGCATACCCCAAAATTTTGCCCACCTCACACGCATGTCTCTGTTACAGTGCCAATTTCAGTAACCTGACAAGGCAATATTTAGCTTTAATTGTATTCTTCAGGAGAGGAGGACGAATTTTTTAGATGGTTACCGGTGTTGACCAGTGACTTACCCTGTTAGAAATTTCCACTGCCCGTGCGCCAACTGATATGATGTGTACTGTGAGGGTTTGTTAACCGCTGTGGTTTCAGGAACTCCTAGTTGCCAATATTGTAGGTTTTGGTGTACGTAGACGTTTCAGTCAGCTGAGCTAAGTCAACCCTGTTGACGACACTATCATACTGCCAATGAATGCATTTACGTAACCGAAGCTGATTAGAAGGGAGAAGTTTGTCATTCTGTTCTATCCCACCGACCAATTCACGTGTGTTAGCCATCGATCGCAGTTCAAAAGCTCATCAGCTGTACACTATTGTTTGGTCTGTGGGTTTCACCGAAGGGAGCGTCGTTACGCTTTTGATTATGCCTTTTTATGTTCCATTTAAGTTCCTTTGTTTTCTTTTTATAAATACTGGATAGGCCACCCCAGTTTCAAAGAAGCGGGCTTGTTATCTTTCATTTGCTCCCTCAGACTACAATTTCTGCCACCGCAGTTCAAGAGGAATTATTCTGTGATTTGGGTGTTGATCCGGGTGTGCATGTGACTTACAAGCCACGTCACAAATACAAAAAGAGCGCCTTGGTCTTTGATATATAATGAGCCAAATCCTGATTGATGCAACTTTCCCATTATGACAGCTGACAGATCCTCCCATTTCGTTTGAAACTTACAATAGACCGCCACCTTCTGTTTTATCCCAGAAGACCCCCATACTAACAAATGAACCCGTGACAATGCCTGAGCCACCATCATCATAAAATATTCTCATTAAATGCAATAAACCTCTAGTAAAAGAATCAAATACTTCGAGAACGTATTCCACGATAAATTGATGCGACAAGACTATAGTCGGTGGTATCAGGAGGACACTGCGTGCTCATGCAATCATGTAGACCGCGGCTATGCAACGTAACTAGCCATCCGAGTCAGAATACCATTTTCAAAGACCACTGTACATTCATTATCATTATCATCAGCTGTGAGAGTCACATACTTGTCGTACACCCCAACATAATTTGGTTCCAGTTCTCTGCACATGGCTGGGCAATGATACGATGCAACAGCCAAGGCCTGGCTTGTAATGTGCTGTCAAGTTATGAGGTCTTGAACTTGTGAAGGAAGCAGTTTAGACTTAAAGTGTAGCTGGTATCATCGGTTTGACCCACCTATTTACGCTGCTTCAGAAAGTGACATGTATGAAGTTTAAGTTGGCTAATTACACCATTTTGGAAACCGACAAAATATGTGGTCACATTTGATCTTATTTGGTAGTGACAGGGTGTCTTCTTCGTGAGCCTATACTAAGCCTAAACGGTGGAATGTAAGCACGTAAAATGTTTTCAGTTATATCAGAAGAAAACAAAACTAAAGATCATGAAATTTTCTGTGAACGCGTGGATTTTTCAGTCAGTGAGTAAACCGATCAGTCAAGTCGGTAAGTCGGTCAAATGGACTGCCACTGGTTCGTTCACAGTGTGCTCTGACTTAATAGGGCTTTATGAGCCATTTTGTTGGTATCTTGCAACCAATGCTGATGGTTTTACATCAAATGGTGCTGATCATTAACTGCAACAATGAACAACTTTTGTCTACAGCTTATTCGTCGTGTGAAATACCGTCCTTCTCTTTTCCTTATGTATTTACGTCCATCGTTGAAGCCAAGTAATGGTGTGATTCTCTCCACTATTTAAGGTACAACTGTTGGAACCGTCAGTAAAAAACTTGGACAGATATGACTCGACAAAACCTGTTAGGATTACGAAAAACCGGACAATCGAATGGGTTGTGAAATTATCACCATGTGAGTTCCAGTTTGGACAAACTTAACGTTTTATTACTTTTTCCTGACTGGATCTGCTTTCAATCTGTTCATCTTTGTTGACGAACACAATTTATACTGTTGAACTGACTGAGTACACCTACTCTAACATTCTTTTCTACGTGTGTTTTCATAGACAGCAACGAGAGCTGCTCCTTCGATATCTTTCCAGTGTACATTGTCCTAGATTCTGGGAAGCTGAGATTTTAGACCGCTTGTATTTACTTCCAAATATAGTCTCGCTAGTTTTTTTCAGAAATGTGGTGATCTCCAGGGGTTTTATGGTCTTATCCAAGGGACCAGTATTGAAGTGGGTTCATAGCTTACATTATTAAAAATAAATTAAGCATAGCATTCCAATGCTAACGATGTGATATGCCAGTGCTTTTCGACTTCAGAATGCCGTCTTAACATGAAGGTATTCTGGCATTCCACACAGTATGATCCTTAGGGACAGCTGACGTGAAGTTAAGTCGAGTTTTGGGGTTTTATTTGGGCTATTTCTTGTGACTATTGAGTTGGACATCTTATTCCACACTGAATCACCCTAGGGTTTTTACGGCGATGTGTTTAGTTCCACTTTGCGACTGTGTAGATTATATCGAGATCGCACAACGTATTCCAATGTCTTTCGAACGAATGAATGAAAGTTCATTGCCACAGCACTCAAATGAATTTTTAGACTTGGAAAGGGAATTGCGATAAGTAGGTAGTACCGGAGAAACTTGGCATTTTTGGCACAAAAATGGGCAGAAAACAACAAACTTATGGTTTACTTTGTTGTTCCGTGAATGCTGTTGTACGGTATGGAACACATTGGGCCACAGCATGCGCAAACAGTGAAACTCAGACTATTGCTGTGTGGCCGATATTAGTACTTAAGTTTTCATATGCATGAGCTGATGTACTCTGATATGCTAATAGTACTAAAGCATACATTCCAAACATTATTTGGAGTCAATGCATCTGTAAATCGAAATACCCGAACCGAAACGTCCGCGTAAAGCAGCATCTACTGTAGAAATTTAAGATGCTATAGTACTACACTGAACCCTAGTGCTGGATGTACCACTGGGTTAGGACAGTAAAATTTATGTAGTTGGCATTATGGGTCCCATGTAAGTTGTTTTAATGAGGTTTATTTTTCCCACGGTGGATAATGATGTCAAAATGCTCAACCGTGACTTTCTATCCCATGATGTTCAGTCGCTGCTTCCCAAATTAGGTTCAAATTGTCATAGTGACCAATTTGACGTTACGGACCGTAATAACTTGTAGTCCAAGCAATTCCAAACGCCGTCTCTGCTTTCGGCTGTCTTTAGCTGCACTAGAGACAGTGCTAACGGTCCTAGTAGTTGACACAGGATTCCCGAACAAATTCGTCGTTGTAGCCATCCCTGATAGCAGTTACATGGTCAAGGACATGCCGAAAAATACGGGAAATTTTACTCTGTTTATTGCACAAGCCGACGAGACTTCACAAAATACGGTGACAAGGCAAGGATTGTGGACTGAAGTGCCATCGTCCCATAGAACCTGATCGCCTTTATTTTAAAACAGTTGGTTCTTAGTTCCATTTTCAAGAGAGACATTCTTTATCTGATTATCAGCCGCTCTTAGCAACATCCAGCCCTCATTGCCTTAACTCCTCGCTTTGCCTGGTATCCACCCAGCTACAGGCCACTGGGCAGTTCAACAAAATTTTTGATCGGAGGAATCTCGCGGCTTTATGCGCGTTGCATGGCGACAAATAATTTCTGTATCCGTAAGCGTGCTATTCTTCATCCCATTCAGCCAAACTGTTATAGTGCCGGTATGGTGGGCATCGCCAGTCAATCTGTTGTAATCTTCGGGATATTCATCGGATTAATAATAGGCCTTTACACCCTAGGGATGCTCATAGCCTCAATCAACGAAGTGACCCCAATTGTGGTTTGCAGCTCGCGACA